TCGGTCTGGTCAGTCGGTAGGTAGGCAGGCTGCAGGCAGACCTGGCAAGTGGCCGAGAGCAACCTCCTTGACAAGCCTGCGGGCCCACCTGGAAACCACCCCGCGGGCCATTCATCTTAGGGTGAACGAGTTTGAAAGCCTCCTGAGCTTAGGAGGCAAGTGAGAAGCTTACTTTAGGGGAAAAAATGTTTTCCTTGCCCGCTAAGTGGTAATGGAAAAGAGCTGTGCAAGCCGCGGCCCAGGGCCGGCTCTTTCGTGGGGGATGTGGTCAGATCTTCAGGAGGCAAAGCAGTGAGGCTTGTCCTCAGGAGCCACTGCGCTGTGACGTGGAAGCGGGACGCTGTCCAGCCGGCAAGCTGGCGAAACGCTGCCCCGGGCAGGGAGCCGAGGGAGGCTCCTCCGTTACTGTTCTCTGGCCGTTTTGGATTTTTCGTTCCTGTTGTGAATTGTTGTGTAAAATAGAGCCTCGTTAGATTCCTCCCAAGTACTGCCTGGCACATACATGAACACAGTGCAAAGCATGAGACCGTGACTGCTACTGGAGACGCGGCCGGGGATCCTCTTAAATGGTTGGTCTCTGGCCCGGCCCGTGTGGCTCAGTGGTTGAGCGTCAACCTATGAACCAGGAGGTCACGGTTCCATTCCCGGTCAGGGCACATACCTGGGTTGTAGGCTTGATCCCCAGTGTGGCGTGTGCAGGAGGCAGCTGATCCGTGATTCTCTCTCATCATTGATGTTTCCATCTCTCTCTCTCTCTCTCTCTCTCTCTCCCTTCCCCTCTGAAATCAAGAAAAATATATTGAAATGGTTGGTCTCTGGCCACAGGTGTCTGATGGATGCCCCCGTGGGGGCCGCATCCCCTTCACGGGGTGGGACAAATCATGGAACCATCGCTGGCCAAGCCTGGTGTCAGAGACGGACTCTCACTCACTCGCTGGTTGCTGCTGTTATGCAAAGCAGCTAGGAGCTTCTGATGTCAAAGGAGTGGGGGTGGGGTGGGGGTGGTTTAAGAAGGGATCCTCAGATTATAGGATCCACGTGCTTGGCATTAGTCCTCCTGGTGGGTGAGGCTCTCCTCTCCTGCGTCCATTCTACTGTTTTCAATGGCTGGGCACGTGGATGGTAATTAAATGGCCTGACCATAGCTGTCGCTACCCTTGAGGAAGGGTCCACTGTGTGTAGAGGGGTTTACATGCACGACCCCCTGAATCCTCCCAGCTCGCTAGAGGGAAGCCTAGGGCCGAGGTTGGTCACCGGCCTCTTAATTGTGTAGGTAGTAAGCGGTGGAGGGGAGATTTGAATTCCCTTCTCTGATGCCAAGATCCTTTCTCTCTTTTTTTAAAAATATATTTTTATGGACTTCAGAGAGGGAGAGAGAGAGAGCAACATCCATGATGAGAGTGAATCATGGATCGGCTGCCTCCTGCACGCCCCCTACTGGGGATGCAGCCGGCAACCAGGGCATGTGCCCTGACGGGGAATCGAGCCGTGACCTCTTGGTTCATGGGTGAACGCTCAACCACTGAGCCACACTGGCCGGGCCCTTTCTCTTTGAAGTATACACTGTAGGGTATGAGATCGCTTAGTAACGGGAATAGCAACCGTTTGATTAGCAGCCCTTTGCAGGTTGTGAATCACATTCACATATATCGCCATCATCGATTCCTCCAGAACCACCGTGAGGTGGTTGGAAGGCCAGACCAATGGCATCCCAGCTCCTCAAACTGTATCGCTAAAAGGCTTTGTGCTGGGTGATGGCCCGCGTGAATACGCTTTATGTGAATGAAGCTTTATGTTTCTAAAGTTAGGCGTGCCAACATTTAAGTTCACTTTTGGAAACATTTAAAAGTGGTGGAATGGAGCCGGCCCGATGGAGGATCCGAGCGTTTTGTGCTGTTGGCATCACGTAGCCTTCTCCTCTCCCGGCCTGTGTCAGAGCTGCACTCTGCTTCTTTCCTGAGACCAGTGCCAGGGTCCCTTTCAGAAGGGGAAGGCGGGGAGGAATGTGATTATAAAGAGGAAATGGGCCATCAGAATTGGAAACATACGCGGCGGCAGCAGCCGTAGATTTTTCCCAGCACATGCTTTGTGTCCTGGCCCTGGCCTCGCACAGAAGACATTCTTTCTTCGGGAAGTGTCAAGGGTCTTTCTTTAGAATATCCTCTGAGATCATCGACTTTCTGGGCCTCGTGGGAACACACATTCCACAGAATTTCTGCGTTCATCTTTTCCCCACAGGGGAAGCGGGTGAGCGTAGGCATCAACCTGGAAAGGGAATGGAGGAGGTATCCGTTCTTCCTTTCTTTTTATTTTATTTCATTTCTTTTTATTGATTTATTTTTGTAATATATTTCTTTATTGATTTCAGAGAGGAAGGGAGGAGAGAGAGATGGAAACATCAATGATGAGAGAGAATCATTGATTGGCTGCCTCCTGCACGCCCCCTACTGGGGATCAAGCCCGCAACCCAGGCATGTGCCCTTGGCCGGAATCGAACCCGGGACCCTTCAGTCTGCAGGCTGACGCTCTATCCACTGAGCCAAGCCGGCCAGGGCCCTTTTTAAAAAAAAAAAAAAAAATATATATATTTTTATTGATTTCAGAGAGGGAGGGAGAGGGAGAGAGAAACATCAATGATGAGAGAGAATCATTGACTGGCTCCACCACGCGCCCCCTACTGGCGATGGAGCCCACAACCTGGGTACGTGCCCTGGCCAGGAATCGAGCTGTGACCTCGGGTTCATAGGTCGACGCTCAACCACTGAGCCACGCCAGCTGGGCTCTCCGTCCTTGAGTGGAATGGAGGGTGGTGCTGGACAAAGATGCCTGACATTGACCCAAGAGTGACCATCAAGTGCAGGAGCGGAGTGGCTTCTGGTGTGTGGGTTTCTCAGAATGCTGCTGGGCAAAGGGAAAAGTCCATACTGGCTTTTTGTTTCCAAGATAAGACTTTGAAGACCGGAAGGCCTACCTTCACTTGTTTAATTATTTCAGGCTAGGACACCGTTTGGGGTCTTCGAGGATGTGGTGTAGGTGCGGGAACTTGTCTCCTCATCCCGGGAAAGTCCCCTCCACGGGATATTGACAGGGAGGGGATGCGGACGCCAGGTCTGAGTTCTTACAGGGAGCACCTTCCCACCTCCCAGCTACAAAGGAGGAGGGATGCTCACTAGCATCGCACTTTCAGAGCCTCTTTTAGGTTCTTGTCAGTGGTCAGTACCTGAAGCCCAGCCGGCGTGGCTCAGTGGTTGAGCGTTGACCTATGAACCAGGAGGTAAGGTTTCATTTCCCAGTCAGGGCACGTGCCCTGGTTGCGGGCTGGATCCCCGGTGAGGGGCGTGCAGGAGGCAGCCGATCAATGATTCTTTCTCATCGTTGATGTTTCTCTCTCTCCCTCTCCCTTCCTCTCTGAAGTCAATTAAAAAAAAAAAAGCAATGAAGGAAATCTGTTGAGCCTCAAAGGCTGGAGCCGGCCAGATCGGTGGCCCGGAGAGTAGATGGTGGTGAAGTGAAGAGAACAGCTGTGGCAGCTGTGGTGGCCAAGGCCACGCCCACACCCACACGTGCTGGCTGCCGAGACAGGCTGAACACAAACAGGAGCGAGAGGGTGGGAGGAAGCGGAGCACAATGCCCACTCCGACCGCGAGGGTGTGGCGGGGCCAGTCTCTGACGCTGCCTCCCTTAAGGATGGATTGCTTGGGGTCTCAGGGAGCACCATCCTGTTGCTCGCTGCCCCCGGAGAGAGTGGCGGGTCCTTTTAGGGCCGTGGGGTGTAGGAGGCACCTTCCGTGGGAGAAGGTGTTGAATAACGGGGTGGCCCTGGCGGGTGCAGCTCCTCCGTGTCCTCCTGCCACTTCCCTCCACCTGCCGGCACCCCGTCCTCAGCCTGTGCTCAGCAGGGCCGTCCGTCAACCCACGGAGGCTGCTCCTGGACTTCAGGCTCATCCGCATTGTGGGCAAGAACTGCCCAGTGTCCAGAGAATGAGTGGCTCATCTTGTATAGACAACTGTGCTCCTGTCGATCAGATGTGGGCACGTGTGGCCTCATCCTGGCTACTCTCCATGCTCCTGCCACTTCATCTCAGCACTGTCCTCCGCGGGGATGCCTGCAGATGGGGGAATGCGGAAACCTCCACGGTGGGTAGAGGTTGGCGGGTAGAGGTCGAGCCCAAGACGGTCTTTCCAGAACAGCACACGGCCTCCTGGGTGGTGCTCTGTGAGGCTTCGGGCCACTTTTAAGGAGTCGGAGAGCTCCCCCTGACAGTCCCTCCCGCCTGGCCGGCTTCCTGTGTCACCCGGAGCTGGGCCTGTGGGTGTCAGCGGCTAGAGCAGAGCTGGGAGGGACGATCGGAAGCTTCTGAGTTTCTCCTTCTTTTCTGGGGCGTGTGCTTGGCTCCCCATCCTGCACCACCCCCCTTCCCCAAGTGAGGGAGAGAGGGCGAGAGCCGAGCCAGCCCTGCCTGGTCTTCCTGGCTCCCTCTCCTGGGCGCATCTTTCTCTTCAGGGGGGAGTTCTCGGGTGGGGGGGGGGCGTTGTCTGATCTCGTCTCCAAGGGGAGCTGAGGGCCTGGTGTCTGTGGAGGAAATGGTGTGAGAAGCGCTGCAGGGCGGGGCTGAGGGAGGGGGGTTTGTGCGAGGAGAGGAGAGTGGGGATGGACTTACACTCTTTCAGGATAGGAGTTAGAAGGTGAGGTCTAGAGAGGAGTGAGACTGATCATCTCCCTTCTCTTATCAAACAAGAATCCCCAGCTTCTACGTGCCAGGCGCCTGGCTCCTGGGCAGCTGGGAGGCCGGGAGGAGGCCTGGTCCCTGCCTCCCCTGGGCTTTCCCACCCACCCTGCGTGGACTCCGGATGCTTTGAAATTGCACTCGTTTCGCTGTGTTAACATGAAAATTCGAAACTGTGCATTCCAGGTTCTTAAGCTGTATTAAAAAAAAAACATAAGAGCTCAGTACCCTTCAAGAGATTTTGGAGAACTGAGTCGAAAGGGCAGCAGAACAGATGTTGGTTATGGACCTTGTTGTATGTAGTGCGTGCGCGTCCTGTGCCCGCTCATTTTCACCGGTTTCATGAGAGCGATTTTCCACACCCTTTATCCAGGAAGAAACTCTAAAAACAGCCACACTGGTAACATTCCTGCTGGCCCTGCTTCCCTTTTTGCGTTCGCCTTCCCTCTCCTCCCTCCGTGCGGCTTCCTTTTAAATTACTGACTGTTAGACCCCGAAGCCCTGCTCACAATCCTGAGCTCGCAGAGGTGCTGGGTTCCTCTCGGATCATTTTCCCCTTGAAAGTGCTTTCAGAGGATTGTCACTGCTTTATTCACGTCAGAAGATAGTCCAGCCTAAATGCTTTTAGGAGAAGCTTAATTTTTACGAGCACTGGGCTCCTGCCAGTTTGCATGGCGGGTTCCTGTGTGGGTCTCTAGCAAGCTTGGAATAAGTAGAGCAGTTTCCACCTGCCCCCGCTGGTGAGCCAGGAGGAAGAGGTTCCCTCTTGGTGAGGAGAGGCATTCATAGAAACGTGTGAGCTGCCGCACGGGGTCCGGCTCAGGAACCTGCTCTCTCTGCAGGAGCAGAATACTGCGCATTCCGTGACCCTGGGGAAGGGGGCCGCGGCAGACTTGACAGCTTTATAAGTTTCAGGGATGTCTCTCAAAAATCCATAATTACATGATCCCTTAAGGAACTCTCACCCATGTATTTAAATTCACGTTTTCAGATTCTTGAATTGTTTAATTTTATTCTGTATTCTGTTGACGTCACACCTTCTTTAAAGGTAGAACTTGGTTATCCATGGGTGTTGTTTTTTTTTTAATATATTTTATTGATTTTTTACAGAAAGGAAGTGAGAGGGATAGAGAGTTAAAAACATCGATGAGAGAGAAACATAGATCAGCTGCCTCCTGCACACCCCCCACTGGGGATGTGCCCTCAACCAAGGTACATGCCCTTAACCGGAATCGAACCTGGGACCCTTGATTCTGCAGGCCGACGCTCTATCCGCTGAGCCAAACCGGTTAGGGCTATCCATGGGTGTTTTGATTTTGGGGTGGTAGAGTATTCAAGTTGAAGCGGCCTTAAAGGTCGCTGCTGTAACCCCTTCCTTGCATTGGAGACCTGCTCAGGCTCAGACAGCTAGCTGGGGATAGATTTGGGAACCTGAACCCAACCAAGTCTTTTGACCTCTTGCTCAGTTTTCTTTCTCAGGGGATATTTCACTCTCTCCCCAAACCCATGTAAATCCAAGCTTGGTACCCTTTACCTCAGAGTCGATCCTCTTTTGACGTCACGGTGCTAATAGCATTTCTATCATCATCATCACTTTGGATTTCAGAAGCATCGCCTACTTCTTATTTTTAATTGTAAAAATACATGTAACCTTTCGCCCTCAAAAAAAATCTAAATTAAATTGCCTCTTATTTAGTCACACCTAGAACCAGTGAAAGAAAGAAAGAACAAATTAACTCACTAACTTCACTCGCTCACTAAGAGCACCGGGAATCTTGGAGGGCTGGGGGGGGGGGGGGGGCTGAAAGATGGAGAGAGTGCTGAAGTTAAAGTTTTCCTCTTTCCTTGTTTTCCTTAGGGTTACCTGTGTCGGTACCATTTTGTTATGTCAGAGTTTTTAAACTTTTTCAAACCATAAGAACAGAATTCTGGAAAATTACCAAAATACGTTTTTACAAAGAAAACTTTGCCAAACCTGACACATTTCCTCAAAGTCCCATTGATTTCAGGTACTTTTTTAAAAGTTCAGTGAACTTGACGCCCTTGGGGCCACCTGGCGGGAGCTGCTGAGCGATCTGCGGCCGGCTGCTTTCTGCATTGAGCTTGGAAGTGCCCAGGTGAGGCCAAGCGTGAAGCGAGATAGGCTGTGCCGGTGCCCGGTCCTGGGCCCCTTCTTGATAGGTATGGGGCACGTTGGCACTGGCTGCTGCTTGTCTGAGCGATGTTAGGGAAGGCTGAAGCCTGCAGCCTGACCCACAGGTTGACTCTGGAGGCTGAAGTCCACGATCAAGGCGTCCGCGGGTTTGTTTTCCTCTGAGGCCTCTTCCTGGGTTGCAGGCCGCCTTGCTGTGTCCTCAGAGGGTCGTATTGGATGAGGGTCCGTCCTAACGGCCTCATTTTAACTTCATCGCCTCCTTAATGGGCCCATCTCCACACACAGTCACATCCTGAGGTCCTGGGGATTAGGGTTTCAATATGCGAATTTTGGGGGGGGCACAGAATTTGGGGACACACAATTCAGCCCCTACGAATGGATGCGAAGCCCAATGCCCAACCTGCCTCTCTCCCTGCCCCGGGCTCCCTCACCCCCCACACTGTTGAGTGACTGTTCCTCCTGCTCCAACTGGTCACGCTCCTGTCCGTGGCCTTGGTGACCTGTGCTCGTCTGGTCCCCCCTCACCTCCTCCTGCTTCCTTGGCGTCCAGTTCGTTGGTGTCGCTGGCTCTCTCCTCTTCCTGGAAGGAATCACGTCGTCTTCAACGCCTTCTCAACGCCAACTCCGTCTCCCGTCCCCAAGAATCTGTTCTCTCAGGCATAACAGTTGTGTGAGGTCAACTCTAGGCAACTTTATGGGATGATAAGACTAAACCATTTTGTAATCCTGTCCTCATGGTTAAAAAAAGGAATAGTGGGGACAATGATTTAGGCCAGTGATGGCGAACCTATGACACGCGTGTCAGAGGTGACACGTGAACTCATTTTTTTGGTTGATTTTTCTTTGTTAAATGGCATTTAAATATATAAAATAAATATCAAAAATAGAAGTCTTTGTTTTACTATGGTTGCAAAGATCAAAAAATTTCTGTATGTGACACGGCACCAGAGTTAAGTTAGGGTTTTTCAAAATGCTGACACGCCGAGCTCAAGAGGTTCGCCATCACTGATTAGGCCAAGGTTCAGTAAAATTTATATGTGAGTTTACCTCTGTTCACAAAGCCATGTTTTTCTCTCTCAAGAGTTTGGTTTTGGGTTCTTGTTTTTCTTCCCAAGGGCAAACCTTGGTTAGAGTAAGACTGAGCGGGTAGCTCTCTCCCAGGAGAGTGGGGGCGGAATTGCTTTAGTGGGGGAGGTGTTCTGCCTTTCTGCTCAGATGTTTTTGTGTCTGTTTTTTGGTGAAAGCTGTGTAGAGGCGAAGGCTACCCTCTTTGAAGCTGCATGTTGGTGTTGGTGAAGGGGTCAGGTTGACTTGTGAGTATGTGTTATTTAAACTGTGGTTGGTTGTTTTGAGGTCTCTGGTGTATATGTGTTTACGTGGCGTTTCTCTTAATAGTCTGTTGAGGTACATCAGAATGATTTCTACCTGTAATATTATTACATTTAAAATCTATTTTCTTGAAATATTAATGTTTATTGCATGTAATATTATTATATTTAAAATCATTTTCTTGAAATATTAATGTTTATTGCATTTAACGTCGTTATATTTAAAATAAAAAAAAAAAAAAAGAACTACAGGTAAAAGTTACAGAGTTGCTATTTCAACTCCATGGAATTATTTTTATTTTCACTCCAAAAAAAAAAAAATGATTTCTACCTAAAAGTTTATGTTTTTATTGAAGATGCTGACGATCTGATTTCTAAACGTATACAAATTATGGATGGTCACTGTTTGGCCTCCTAAAATAGAAGCACCAGACTTCCCTGGGCGACCTTGAGAGGAACATTCACGTCTGTCGACAGTTTTAAAGTGTGTCATTTTAAAGTATGAAACTCAAATTTAGTTTTTAATGGTAGCGTGTGTGTTTGTTCTTTCTATCTTTAAGAGGCAGGTTATGGGAATACATGTGGCCTTGTACTCTTGACTCTGTCTGGCTGTGGGTTTGAAGTGTTACTTTTGTGCTTTTTAAAATGGCTGGAGCCCTTTCGACTGTCCGTTCGGGACAGAGTCAGTACGGTTTTCGGATATGGTTTTGAAAACCCCCCGGGTTTGTAGCTTGGTGATACGTTAGTGCCGGTCATTCTCGCAGCGTCTAGTCTGCTGGCTTCCTTGGCTTTCTTTCCCGAGTCCCATGGAGTCCCATGGATTAGCCGATGCCCATCACTCAGACCCTCGGTGCCCAGCGAGCGCTGCCCGGGGCGCCCCTGAGGTGGGGATCGATGCTCATCCAGACTCAGCTGTGTGGATCCCAAACCCGTCTCTGGTGGTCGCACTGACTGTATTTAATATCACGATTTAAATAGAGGCAAGCATAGTTGTCTCTGTGAAAGTTCATTTGGATGCTTTGGAAACGACCTGGAAAGTTTCTGAACGTGCTGATAGCCGAGTCAGGGGAGGCTGGCTTGGGGGAATCGTAGGATAAAAAGCGATTTCCGCGAGGACTGCCAGCCGTTCAGGGTGGTGGGCCAAGCTGTGACCGCGTGCGCCTGAGCATCGCAGTGGCTCAGAGCGGTGTCCACGCGCACACTGTGCTTGTCACAGGTCAGCGGGGTCTGCTCCCTGCGGGGGACAGCGCCCTCGGGACACGCTGATCCCCAGGGCAGGGGAGAGGCTGCTGGGAGGCCTGGGTGGCCCTGTCTGGATTCAGCCCTCGGGGCTGTGGAATCCTGAGCGGGAGTCACAGTGCACCCCACGTCGCTGCCCAGGTGTCTTTATGGTCTCACCTTCTTTAAAGAAATTGGACCTAGCCCTGGCCGGTTTGGCTCAGTGGTTAGAACGTTGGCCGTGGACAGAAGGGCGTGTCCCTCGGTTGCAGGCTCGACCCCCTGCCTGGTAGGGACACTGCAGGAGGCAACCAATTGATGTGTTTCTCTCAAATCCATGTTTCTCTCTCTGTCTCTCTCCTTCCCTTCC